TAGAACTCTACTTTTAGCTGATCGAATCTCCAGCAGATCTTTCGACAGCATATGCTTTGTCGATGTTGAGCAGTATTTAGCTTTGTGTGTTGTAGCAATGTTTTTGAATAATAAATTGTTGTTAATCAGCTGCCGCGTATAGGGTTCAGTTTGATATGCAGGTGACCGGTTCGCAAGTGAATTATAGGGTTCAGTTTGATATGCAGGTGACCGGTTCGCAAGTGAATTTTACTTCGGATATTCCGAAATTTTTATTTGTACTCTTAAACGTGACGGAAATTTCATCTGAACGATTTATTGAGAAGTTTGTGTTTGGGCGATTTACTTTCATCAAAACTGACGAGATCAGTCGAGACCAGCCAGGTGTAAAATATATGCATAGTGCTACATCTTTGCTTGCAGTATTAAACCTAATTATGCATTTGTCGCGGAAGCTTTTCTACGATGAGACCTAATGAAGGAGACATTAGCTAAAAGAAACCGGTTAAATCCCGATTTTATCCTGCCATATTTAGTCTAAAAGGACCTTGTATTTGTGGACATCTTCATCATATTGGCAAATGTAGACATTTTTTGAAATTAAAATTCAAATTGGGCTTTTTGAGACCCAAAACCTACTAGAAGAAGATGGTTTCGTTAAGTTGGGCTTGCACTGAAGAAAGAGGTCTCGACAATCGCAAGTTGGCTCGTATCAGAGAAGTAAAATGCAAGGAAAACTGTGATGTTTTATAATCCTAGTCATGTGGTTCACGTGATGTAATTAGTATAATCTCAATAGAAGCGGATTTGTTGACGTTGATTTCACAAATAAAAAGTCTTGACTGTGCTCTGTTCTGTTTCAAAGCACACAGGAAGCGGGTAGAGCACGAAAGAAGCGCAGGGAGAAACACGAGACGTAGTCAGCTAGTAGCGACTGAACATCGATGTATATTTTTTTAAATATATTTTTTATCTTGTCTAATATTTATTCTGCTCTGCTTCAACGTATTGAGCACTGTTCCACGCGAAAATCGACTTGCAGACTTCCTATATATATATATATATATATATAAAAGTGAAAGAATCTAAGGGGACGCATCGATTCTCTGTTACTCTGAGTTTCGCGCCTAAGCGCTCGTCAGACAACTTTCTGACGAGTTTTGTCTGACGAGCGCTTAGGCGCGAAACTCAGAGTAACAGAGAATCGATACGTCCTCTTTGATTCTTTCACTTATTTATACTCAGCTCTGCTACCACAGCATTGAGCATTTTATGCCAAGGTAGACTCTACCCCCACATTTGTATATATATATATAAATGAATGTGGGGGTTGAGTCTACCTTAGCATAAAGTGCTCAATGCTGTGGTAGCAGAGGTAAGTATACGAAAGTTAAAGAATTAAAGAGAACGCAGACGAGCGCTTAGGCGCGAAACTCAGAGTCACAGAGAATCGATGCGTCCTCTTTAACTCTTTAACTTATCTATCTATATATAATCTTGTTTACAGCATACTCTATATTCTCATAAAAACACGCAACAATGAGCCAATCAGAATCCTTGTCAGAATGGTTCAAATAATCTGATTGGTTGAAAAAGACCAAAGCTGTCAAAAATGTCAAACCATCAAAGTTCACAATCTGCAATACTAGGAACATTACTTGCGTGACAATTAATCTTCCCGGAAGTTCGTCATTAATTTTCTTGAAATTGCGGCGGATGCCTGCGGAAATACAGTTGATTTTACGATCGATATGTCTCCATAGAGTTAGTGCCCTTGTTTACGATGTTTCTATTTATTCTCTAGAGAGCTAGAAAATGATTTTTATTGTAGAAAAAAAATGAACATAAAAAGAATAATAAATACCCTAAAGCGAACTCTTATTCGGTAATAAAGTCACCACTACTTCAATGTCAGGAAACTAACTTTTGTATATTGTAACGTCATGATTTTCCATTAAACTCAAGGTTTTTAATATTTCACTTTTTAATATGGAATATACCAGATCTTTTTTTTTTTAATTAAGACCAACCTCCCTTATCGTTCCCTTTCCCCTACCCCCACCCCCTTCCCACCATCAGTGGCGGTTTCCATGGTAGTTCTGGAAAGAATTTGGAAACCAGCTGAACGCACCTAATTCATCAAATTATTTCCTCACATCGAACGGACGCCATTGAAATTGTGAAAGGACGATGGCCTCTAAGGAGCTTTTATGCTTTCTTTTCGTCTGTTTCTTTGCCTTGGGAGGTGCTACCTACTGTACCTACGACAGTGATTGTTCCTATCTTCAGTCCTGTTGTACAGATAAAGTCTGCAGACAGCGTTGTTATGTCTGTTCGTACGACTACCAATGTGGATCGAACGAGCAGTGCTGTAAAAGCCAATGTAAAAGTAGTTCGTCTTCTTGTTCCTGTTCGTACGACTCCCAATGTGGATCGAGCAAGAAATGCTGTAATGGCAAATGCATCAGTAGTTTTTCTACTTGTTCCTGTTCGTACGACTTCCAATGTGGATCGAGTAAGAAATGCTGTAAAAGCAAATGCATCAGTAGTTTTTCTTCTTGTTCCTGTTCGTACGACTCCCAATGTGGATCGAGCAAGAAATGCTGTAATGGCAAATGCATCAGTAGTTTTTCTTCTTGTTCCTGTTCGTACGACTTCCAATGTGGATCGGGCAAGAAATGCTGTAATAGCAAATGCATCAGTAGTTGGTCCTCTTGTTCCTGTTCGTACGACTATCAATGTGACAGTGGCGAGCAGTGCTGTAAAAGCAAATGCATTAGTAAATCGTCTTCTTGTAACTGTTCGTCCGACGACCAGTGTGACATTGGAGAGGATTGTTGTGGAGGAGTTTGTTCCTCATACTGTGGTTGGAGTGGTGGAGCTATTGCAGGGGCTGTTATCGGCACGATTATTTTCTTTGCCATCATCATTTCTATCGTATTCTGCTGCTGCTGTGCTTGTTGCCCGTACTACCGCTATCGTACACCTGGCACTGTGGTCGTCACAGGCCAACAGCCACAACAACAAACGGTCTCAACCCACATGATGACGACGCAACAAGCATGTGCTCCTCCGCCGTTGAACTACAACCAGCCTCCTCCAGATGGATACGATCAGCCTCTTCCAGGTTTCAATCAGGCTCCTCCGCCTTACTCAGGCTGTTTACCACCACCAAACCAATATCCTCCACCGCTGGAACAAGTTAAAGCGGCGCCGAGGCCAGCAGCAGTAAACACCGAACAACCGAACGAGATCTAATGAAAGTAACCTGCAAAGTAACTTCTCCAAGCAGATCACCGTTCGGGTGAAATAAAAAATCTTTGGTTTTTATTTTCCATTTTCATAGATGTAAACGTAGTCAATATACCAAATGTTATGCAAGATTTTCTAAGGATAGTTTTAAGAAGTATAGGTCAGCGAATAGGTACTTTAATCAAATGAAATTATACTAATCTTAGCCATGATCTGCCTCCTGTATATTTGCAAATTTGAACATCTATTTCGCCATCGTCGTTCAAAGAAAAACAAAAAGTAGACGCAGATTTCTTGTGAAGAAGGATTTTTGTTAGAGATAGATAAGTCCTACCATTTGCATTGATTTTCCAGAATGAATATAATAATTGTATTCTTAGAAATTTAGTCTCACTTTAAGTGTCATATTAAACCGATCAGGCTGTGTTTAACCGAGTCTATAGTTTCATCGACAGTTCTCAATCTATTTCCGTTTATGAAATTTTCAAGATTGCGAATGTCGATCGTGTCGCTTAGCAGTCAAATTGATAATCTCAGTAATATAATTACATAGGTTAAAATTTGTATTATGAGCTCGGTTTGATTTACTATATTACAGCTGCTACTTTATTTACAGATGTAAGTACTCAGTGAGATTTGTTGCTTTTTTCATTTTCTATTTTTAGGTGATCAGATCTTTAGGATATCTTACGACAGCATATGCTGTCGATGTCGAGAAGTATTTACATTTGTGTATTGTCACCATCGTTTTGAATAATAAATTTTTGTTAATGCACTGCCGATTGTTATGCAGATAACCGGTTCGCACGTGAATTTTACTTCTGATATTTCGAAGTTTTACTTTGTGGCTGTAAGCGTGGCGAAAATGTCATCTGAGCGATTCATTGAGAAATTGGCCTTTGATGATTTGCTTTCATCAAAACTGACAAGATCTGTCGAGACCAACCAGGTGAAAAAATATGTATACGGTTATATCTTTGCTTTCAGTTTCAAACCCGATCATGCATTTGTCGCGAAAGCTTTTCTACGATGAAACCCGATGAAGGAGACATTAATTGGCTAAAACAAACCGGTTCAATCCCGGATTTTTTCCTGTTATTTAGTCTAAAAGGACCTTGTATTTGGCAGACATCTTCATCATATTGACAGATGCAGACACAATTTGAAATTAAAATTTGTGTGACCCAAACCTGCTAGAGGCAGATGTTTTTACTAATTTGGATTGGTGGTAAAGAATTAGGTTTCGTCAATTGCAAGTTCGCTCTTATCAGAGAAGTAAATGCAAGGAAAACTGCGATGTTTTACATCATAGCTCCTAGGTTCGCGGATATAATTACTGTAGTCTTTATAGAGCCGGAAGTGTTGACGTGAACGTTGATTTAACAAATAAAGAGGCCTTGACTGTACTCTGTTCTGTTATAAAGCACGCCGGAAGCGGCTAGAGCACGAAAGAAGTGTAGGGAGAAAGACGAAATGTAGTTGGGTGTTTTTCCCCACTTCTTGAGTGCTCTGGCCACCTTTCTGAGTGCTTTACAACAGAACAGAGCACAGTCAACGCTGATCAATTCCCCACACATTACTTCTAGTTTTCAAAACAAACTTTGTTTCCAAAGCGAACAATAGTGTCGTCAGCATGCTCTATACAGCTTGCGGCTTAGCGTCGGTTGCACGGGGAAGATTGAGTTTCTAGTGAATTGAAATGAGAGTACAGTATATGTGCTTGGATTCTGCGTTGGATTTGTGGCCGCCCGGTCATTTTGCGCTGGAATGTTTTGTTTCTCAGATCGAGCGTTCGGAAATGGAGTGTTCAGCCTTGGGCTTTTCTCGTGTACGTTGAGAACCTTTAAATTGACAACTCGCTAAAATGCGTTCTTTTCATCAAAGTAAGCGGTCAGATGATAAGTGATACGCTATGGAAGAAAGGTGAGATATTTTTATTAAGAATTTGACGTATTGTTTTATTCCTTAGAGCGGTCGTAAATATTCCCATACAAACTCTTATAATTCCTCCATCACTATTATTGCGCAAGATGATCATCTCTCAGGTGAAGCTTGGGCCGCCTGTGGACAGCCTTAACATATATTTGTGACGTCTTTAGATTCTTTGTGCAATCTCTTGGCTTTCAAGTCAATTAATGCTTTGGCCTGACTTGAAAGATACTGAACCATCCCCGTTACGAGATTATGCATTGTAACAGAATTTCACCTCTCATCTCCTCTTCCCCTTCAACTTCCCCTACCGATTCCCTTTCCCGTTCCCCTTCCCCTGCCCCCTTCCCACCGTCTATAGGGGTTTCCATGGTAAAGTGTAAGGAGATAGTTTCGAAACCAGCCAACTGCATCTAATTATTTTCTCACATCGAATAGACGCCTTTGAAATTGTGAAAGGACAATGGCCTCCAAGAAATTTTTATGCTTTATTTTCGTCTGTTTCTTTGCCTTGGGAGGTGCTACCTACTGTACCTACGACAGTGATTGTTCCTATCTTCAGTCCTGTTGTACAGATAAAGTCTGCAGACAGCGTTGTTATGTCTGTTCGTACGACTACCAATGTGGATCGAGCAAGAAATGCTGTAATGGCAAATGCATCAGTACTTTGTCTTCTTGTTCCTGTTCGTACAACTACCAATGTGCATCGAGCAAGAAATGCTGTAATGGAAAATGCATCAGTAGTTTTTCTTCTTGTTCCTGTTCGTACGATTTCCAATGTGGATCGGGCAACAAATGCTGTAATAGCAAATGCATCAGTAGTTCGTCATCTTGTTCCTGTTCACACAACTACCAATGTGACAGTGGCGAGCAATGCTGTAATAGCAAATGCATCAGTAGTTGGTCCTCTTGTTCCTGTTCGTACGACTACCAATGTGACAGTGGCGAGCAGTGCTGTAAAAGCAAATGCATTAGTAAATCGTCTTCTTGTAACTGTTCGTCCGACGACCAGTGTGACATTGGAGAGGATTGTTGTGGAGGAGTTTGTTCCTCATACTGTGGTTGGAGTGGTGGAGCTATTGCAGGGGCTGTTATCGGCACGATTATTTTCTTTGCCATCATAATTTCCATCGCATCCTGTTGCTGCTGTGCTTGTTGCCCATACTACCGCTACCGTACACC